GCCGCGGACCGCGCACCCGCGCCGCGCCGCGCCGCGCCGCACACCGCGCGAACACACACACGCGCCTTGTGCGACCGAGGGGTATGCCACACACGCACAACACACACAGCAAACACACACACGCGCGGTGTGCGACCTGAGTGCTATACCACACGCACCCAATACACATGGCACAAGCACACGCGTAGTGCCAGCTGGGGGCTATACCGCGCACACACACACGATACACACAGTGCAAACACACACAAACATATGTTGTGTGAGTTGGGGGCTATACCACACACACACGCAATACACATAGGGCAAACACACATTGTGTGAACGGGATGCTATACCACACACACACAACACACATAGCGCAAACACACACACACGTGTGATTTGGGTGCTATAGCCCACACACACCCAGTACACATAGTGCGAACACACACACACGTGGTGTGCGAGCTGGGTGCTATACCACCCCCCCCATACACATAGTGCAACACACACGTGATTTGGGTGCTATACCACACACACACACACAATACACATAGTGCGCGCACACACACACACACACACGTGGTGTGCGACCTGAGTGCTATACCACACACACCCAATACACATGGCACAAGCACACGCGTAGTGCGAGCTGGGGGCTATACCGCGCGCACACACACACACTACACATAGTGCAAACACACACAAACATATGTGGTGTGAGTTGGGGGCTATACCACACACACACGCAATACACATAGTGCAAACACACACACAAGTGGTGTGCGAGCTGGGTGCTATACCACACGCGCGCGCACACCCCGGATATACGTAGCGCAAACACACACGTAGATGGTGTGCGAGTTGGGTGCTATCTCACACTCACACACACACACACATCTCCCGGATACACATAGTGCAAACACACACACACACACACACACACGTGGTGTGTGAGCTGGGGGCTATACCACACACATACCCCCCCCCCCGATATACATAGTGCAAACACACACACAGAGGCGGTGTGCGAGTTGTTTGCTATAACTACAGACCCCCCCCGGATGTTCGTAGCGCACACGCGCGCGTCTTGCCGCGCAGCCGGGACGCGGCCGTGCCAGCGGGGCCGGGGCCGGGGCCGGGG